GTTCTTAGCTCTGGTTAGTTAGTAACCCTGGTTAGTTCTTAGCCCTGGTTAGTTCTTAGCTCTGGTTAGTTAGTAACCCTGGTTAGTTCTTAGCCCTGGTTAGTTCTTAGCTCTGGTTAGTTCGTAACCCTGGTTAGTTCTTAGCCCTGGTTAGTTCTTAGCCCTGGTTAGTTCTTAGCTCTGGTTAGTTCTTAGCTCTGGTTAGTTCTTAGCTCTGGTTAGTTCTTTGCTCTGGTTGGTTCTTAGCTCTGGTTAGTTCTTAGCTCTGGTTGGTTCTTAGCTCTGGTTTCTTTGTCGGCAGCTTGGTGTCGGATGTGGTCGTCTTCAACTCACACTTCAACATGGACTCCTTCCTGTCCAGCATTCGGTCATTCATGAAGAAGATCCCAGACCACCGACCTAAAGACCTGGACCAGCTGATCCATCCTAAGTGTCTGGTTTTGAGCTACCCAATCCAGTTCCCTGATGTCAACAGGTGAGTGAGGTAAACTATCCTAACTGTTGTTACCAGTTCAGTTTCTCTCACAAAGCTCAAATATGAAGAAGTCTACAGCATGCTCCTGGGTTGGCACTGATGGGCAGCTTCTGGTTAATGGAATTTTATCTGAGCATTCTGGTCCAGTTTTTGACAGTGATTATGGTTTTAGATCTGCTTTGACGGAGGGAGGAGGTGCAGCCATTGTTGATCTTGATTTGTAATCAATGATGACATTGTTACACACATAATAGATTTATTTTTTTAATCTCTTTATTGAGTTTTCTTGAAAGTACACAAAATACAAATCACAGTAATACAAATGGACAATTAAATTAAGAGTATTTCCTAAAAAGAAAGAGGAAGAAAAAAGAAATTTCATTCATTTTCACACATCTTTACTTGTTGAGATAGTCAATGAAAGATTGTCATATCACATAGAAGATGTGTTCTTTGTCTTTCATCTCAAATTTGAACTTTTTTAGATGAGCATGTTTCATTATATCCTGTAAATGGGCTGTACTTACAGAACCTTTCTATTTGACCAGGATACTCATTTACCCATTCACACAGCACTCTATTAGGTCCATACAAAGCTAACATGTACCAATCATGCTATGGAGACCAATCAGTGCTTTCAATCACATTTATACTCTGATGGGTAGGGCTGGGTGTTGTGGTCAATTCCCTAAATCYATTCGATTTTGATTCATAGGTTCTGTATCTCCACATSCAATGAGAGTAGGAACTCTGTATCTTGTTTATCCACATCTTGAGCGTTAGCGTTAGCTGGGCGTTGGCATTAGCGTTAGCTGGGACAGGAGTTGTTTGATCATTTTGTTGTGTATATTTCCAAGTTTCTTTTTTTGTTGCCATTTTAAAGGCTTTGGATATCTGTCTGGTCTAGCTGGTATAAAATCACTAGGTTAAGCGGAGCTGGTCTGACAGCTACTCAGTCCATTGGCCCAGAAGCAGAAGTCCATCACACGCGTTATTAAAGCCTTCATGGAGGTTTTTACCTCATGGATCTGGTTCCCAGAATCCTCCCAGGCTCTCACAGCTTGTGACTGAAAGATGGAGATGTAGAAAAGGGATTTGTGTCCCGTTCATGTGTCCACTCTAAAATACACCCATGTCCTGCTTTAAATCTACATCTGTCTCCATTTTGTCTCTGTCCAGTCCAGTCCAGTCCAGTCCAGTCCAACCTTCAGAGCAGCTCTCAGCAGCTGTTTGTGGATGATTTAGTCAAACTGTGGTTCTGATGTTTTACAGTGTGCTACCTGACCACAAACAAGTTAGACGTCTTTATGGCTCTGCAGAGACATCTCAAGCTGATGGCATCATCGGTCCACAGGACCAGCAGCAGACATCGGAGTAATCTCTTCAGATCATCAACATGTTGAGTTTGATGAAGGGGAGATGATTAAACCTGATGTTCTGACCCAAYAGGTCTGACCTCAGAACCATTCAGACACGTGTCAGTGGGGCGGAGTCTGCAGAAAAGGAGAAACCTCTGCACATTGTCTGGCCTCACAGGTGGTGAGTTCTGTTTTAGTGACTGAATGTCTGGTTGTGGTTTGTTGGAACTGGTGTCAGTCATCAGATCCCTTGTGTGTCAACATACCTGGCCAATAAAGCTGGTTCTGATCTGCAGCAGGTTTAATCTGTTAATCCCTTATGAAGTTGTGTCTCTTAGATTTAATCCGTTTCAGATTTCACACGCATGTTCAACTAACATGTTGAACACATTGTCATAACGCTGCTACTGCTGAAGTCAAGATAGAAGTCCAGAACCTGAACTGAAACTGCTTCCACAAGAGATCAGCCTGAAGTCCATTAAAATGACCTTTGTGTGGATATTCTCAGTCCCTCAGGAACAAATCCATCCATCCATCCATCTGTCAGCTTTCTTCCTCTTATCCAGGGTCAGGTCTCGGGGGCAGCAGCCTCAGCAGAGACCYAGRCYTCCCTCTCTCCAGACACTTGGACCAGCTCCTCTGGGGGAATCCCAAGGTGTTCCCAGACCAGCTGAGAAACATAGTCCCTCCAGCGTGTCCTGGGTCTTCC